TGGACTCTTTTTGTACTACTGATTCGTTTTCTTTTTTTTGTTGAATACAGTCTATGTAACTGTTTGTTTGTTTATATTTATCTACCACGGTATGTACAACAGAAATGATAATAAAAATTTTCGAGCAATCAATGGTATCTGATAAATGATATTCTAATAGCTTTTTATGATCATCAATACTAAAGTATATCTCATATGATTTCTCATTGGAATTTAATAAAATTTCGCTTATAATTTTATCTAATAACTTTTTGATATCATAACCTTGGCAATATAATGGTAGTGAAATATATATTGGAGGACGGAATTCTATGGTTTTGAATAAGTACGAGAAACACTATTACGATTAGTAGATGACGTGAGAAAATATTTTGTTAATTGTGGTACATCGCTTAAACACTGTAATGCACTATTCATAAAACATGTATTGCCAAGATTGCGCAAACCGCGAATATCAGTTTGATTAGTACTATTGTTACTTTCTCGTATGAAAGGCTGTCAACTTACTTGGTTTGTTGGAAATAGCTTTTCCATGAATATCATGTAATTGATCTAAAAAATTTATCAAATAAAACTAGAAGTCAGAAAATATAATTAATCATAAATGATTTTTTTTCGACAATTTTGTTAACTTTTCGTTAACTTTTGTTTAACTTCTCTAAACTTCAGGAGAGTGAGATATATATCTTACCATCAGTTGATCGAAATGTTAACTTCTACATAACTGGAATACGAGTTAAATCTTCGTAGAGCGGAAGGTCTTTTTGATGCATTCAAGTCTGATCGTTTTGTTTTATTTAAAAGTTAGAGTTCTAATCAACATATTGATTTGTTCTAAAATGTTTCGTCGTCAGACACATGTATTAGAGATGTTTCTTATACATACTTATCGGAGGAAGAGAAGGAAAACAACCATGAGAAGCATGAAGGTCCTCCAAGTTGTCCGTTGCATTCTGCTGGATATCTTTTAAGTCTCGTATACTTACACATATATGCCTAATGTACCAAAGTTTTTGATATTGATATTTGATTACAGATAAAAGCTGCTTTTGCAGGAGATAAAGTGTTTGATCGATTAACCGTGATTTAGGACGACCACATATAATAAGTGGTAATTTATTTTTGTTGCGAATCGTATCAACTATCAACGTAGCACAATGTAAAATATAAAAAATAATCTATAATGAAATATGTAAATCATATGGTGAATGTACCTGTTCTGCTTATTTACAAACACTTCTCTTCTTAGCAGCCAAGTAAACTTCTCTTTTGCACGTTTAGATGTATGTTTCTCAATTATTCTATGATACAATGTCATGCTTCTCAGTAATAAAAGAAAACATTAGATTCGAGAGTTTATTGAAGCATACTCTTTACAAAAACATACACAATAATTTTTACTAATCGGATTTCTCAAAGCGCGTGCGTATAGATTATTCCTTGGTTAAAGTGAGAGGCCTTTAAGCGAAGCTCATTTTGGCTTACAAATTCTTGGAAAATGGGTATATTCTTGTTTTTTAATTGCTGTACATGGTATATTATACTCTGATTTATATTTTGTTTTACAATCTTCTTCTGTTTCTAAACAAATAAAACAGAATTGATGGCCACATTTGCAAGTATGATATTTACATTTGCCAACTAGTGGCGGAGCCACCGGGGGAGCTTGGGGCAGCGGAGCTCCCCCTAGAAAATTTTGAGATTCTTTATACTGTTGTTAGACTTTCTTCATTAAAGAATTTAAATAGCACATACTGGTAGTTTGTATACCAGCTTGTCTATTTTTTGTTGATGAGCAAATGTT